ATATATTTAATAAATAAAATGAGCATAAAACTGTTAAAAATATTTATTCGGACCTTGAACTTAGGCTCTGGCGCTTGACTGGGTCAAATCCGATGTAGCACATGCAGCCACTGCCACCCAGATACCCACGGCTCTCAGCCTCCCGAGTGCACCAGCCCCCTTCCAGTGCCAGCACTGTGACTGCCTGATGGCTGGTCCTGGCTGTCCGAGTCCATGTGCTCTCCCGCAGGAAAGCTGGACGTTCTGGGGGATTAATCGCAGGCCCCTTTCTCCATCCCCAGCAGCCCTCCACCACTGGCTGTTGGGAATGGTGGACAGGTGTCCCTGCTCCCTCCGAGGCAGAAGCATGCACTTCTCGTCACGTCCCAGAGTTCCTCAACAGGACTGAGCTCCATTTGCCCACAGTGTTCACTTACCCAACAATGTACTTTTCACTGGTTTCCTTCCCTTCTGCCTCATTTCTCCACTCTTGGGTGCTTCCTGGAATCACCTCCTGGGTCAATTACTTCACTTGAATCCTTGTCTCAGAGTGTGCTTTGGGGAGACCCAACTAAGGCAGCCTCTTGCTAGCGGCATGGCGTTGGGCGATACTTAGCTTCCCTGTGTCTCTGTTTCCATCTGTAACAGGAGGGTAATAATAGCAGCTATACTTCAAGGTGAAGGTGGTTAAAAGGTATAAACTTCCAGTTATAAGATAAATAAGTCCTGGGAATACAATGTACAACATGATGATGATAGTTAACGGTTTTGTATTGTATAGTTGAAAAGTTGCTAAATGAGATCTTAAAAATCTTCAACGTTATTATAAAATTGTACACCTGAAACCTATATAATTTTATGAACTAGTGTCACCCCAATAAATTCAATAAAAAATTAAAATAAATTCTCATCACAAGAAAAATATTGTAATTATGTAATGGTTGTTAACTAACCTTATTATGGTAATCATTTTGCAATATATATGTATATTAAATCATGTATACTTTAAACTAATACAATTGATACCTCAATAAAACTGGAAAAAAACTTTAATAATGATGATTTACTTTCTCATCAAAGATAAATGACCTTCTAACCTGAACAGTCTACTCAATAATTCTGAGTAAAGAAACACTTCCTTTAGGACAGATCTGGTTTCTGGTTATGTACTTACTTCAAAGCTATATTTTTTAGTCCTCCTGCATACCAAAAACCTCTTACACTTCAACATTTTTGTCTTTCCATAATTTCATATCTATTCTTTTAGATATGAAGGGAGAGGGAGAGCAAAACATCAACGATGAGAGAGAATCATTGATCGGCTGCCTTCTGTACCCCACCTACCGGAATCGAGCCCACAATCCGGGCATGTGCCCTGACCGGGAATTGAACTGTGACCTCCTCCTAGTTCATAGGTCGATGCTCAACCACTGAGTCACACCAGCTGGGCCATATTTATTCTTTATAATTTAAAATATATTGTTCTCTTTAATGAAAGAGTGCAGTGTTGTGATTAACTAAAACTTCATACTTGTATTTTGGAAGATAGGAGTAATGGTTTTGCAGGTTAGATAAGGTACATGGCACACATTCATGTTGGTGTAACAAGAGTTCTTGAATTTAAAACAAGTACACACATATGTTATTACTAACAAACTACTTTTCATTTTTCCAGTTGGCAGAGGTTTTTGTTTATTTGTTTGTTTTGTTTTTAAATAGATACCTAATGTTTGTTCATTAGATTGGTTCAGCATTTCAGCAGGAGATTTAGAATGAAATTTATGGGAGGAGTTTTGGGGGATGGGTGAAAGGTGAACGGGATTAAGAAGTACAAATAGCCAGTTATAAAAATAGTCACAGGGATATAAAGTACAGCACAGGGAATATAGCCAATAGTACTGTAGTAACTATGTATGGTGTAAGATGGGTAATAGACTTATGGGGAGGTTCATTTCATAGTTATATAAATATCTAACCACTATGTTATACACCTGAAACTAATACAATATTGTATGTCAACTTTAACTGAAAAATAAATTTTGAAAAATCTAAAAAAAAGTCTTTGAATGTTTCATAACTTTAGATTGAGAAATTCCACTTCTAGAAATTAATTCACTTCTAGAAGTAATGACACAAAAATATTACCACAAAAATATTTTACAGTATTGTTTCTAATAGGGAAGAATGAGAAACAACTTAAATTTCCAACAATACATGTTGGGTAAAATGCATTATATATTCACCCAATGGCATACTATGTAGCCATCCTATATAATAAAGAGCTAATATGCTAATTAGACGGAACAACAGAACAACCGTCCAGACATCCTTCCGGATGACTGTGCAGATGACCTCCTGGACGAAGCGGGGACTGCGAGGGCTGCGAGGGGCTGTGAGGAGCTGTGAGGGTTGAGCCCCTTGCATGAATTTCGTGTATGTGACTGTGCAGATGACCTCCTGGACGAAGCCGGGACTTCGAGGGCTGCGAGGGGCTGTGAGGACCAGCTGAGGATGTGAGGGGCTGCGAGGGGCTGTGAGGGTTGAGCCCCTTGCATGAATTTCGTGTATCGGGCCTCTAGTTAAGAATAATGTTGTAGTATAAATGACATGGAAAAGTGCTAACAATATATTTTTTTTAGTGGAAAAAAGCTTATAAAACAATTTGCAATGACCTCATTTTAAAAAATAGAACAGTCTTAGAAAAAACAAATATTGACATTTTAAAGGGTTATCTATGGATGGTGAGATTGCAAGTAATTTTTCCTTTTTTGTGTGCCTTATCTGGATTTTCTAAGGTTTTCACAATGCAAATGAATATTTCCATGATATTAGAACTATAATAAAAATTATTTAAAAAACAATTAATTGAGAAAATATTTAGCATAGAACTTGCCTGTTAGTGTCCTTTCCCTCGAGAGGACCTCCGGAGAGGCAGGAGTTCCCCAGGCCTCCTCCCGCCGGGAGCGTTACTGGAGGCCTGTGGTCTGCCTCTTGGTCGTGTGGAATCCAGCTTTGGGGAAACTACAAAGTAACCCCAAAGTTTGGGAGGTAGAAGAAATGGCAATTGGGAGATTTTATAGAGTCTGAGCAAGAAGCTCCTTCAGAGAGGATCTAGTTTCTCCGCCTACGTTTTCCTCAAACAGAAGCTAAGGCCCACTCTCAGGGCTTGTCCAAGGCCACACAGCGGGCTTAACGACAAGGTGAGGCCTTGAATAGGCGGCCCGGCTGTTTCGGTAATGGGCTGATTTCCACCAGGCCTTCTACTTTACTGTGCACAGAAACAGCGGGGGTCTTGTTGAAATGCAGATTTTGATCCGGCAGGTCAGGCGTAGGCTTAGGAGTCCGCATTTCTAACCAGCTCTTAGGCGATGCAGATGGTGCGGGCTTTGGGATCACAGCACTCATGTGCAGCCATGGGGTACCAATGGGGTAAGCACAGATTCTGCAGCCAGGCTGCCGGCTTCCCGATCCTAGCTCGGCCGCACATTGATTATTAGTGTGCTGCCGTTCCTTATCCGCGAAATAAGATAACACCTAACTCAGTGAGGGTTTAATACGTTACTGCACGTTACGTATTTAGAACAGTGCTCGCTAAGAACTAGTTATTAGTTGTTATATTCTCTAGGGTTGGACCAATGAATGAATAACCTTTGGAGAAAAGCTCTTTCTTGGGCGACGAATGTCAGAGAAGGGAAATGGGAGGGCGCATTGGTGGGGGAGAGGACCACCTCCTGGAAAGCGCTCTCCACGGGGTGGTCGGGAGGGAGCGGGGCTGC